TTAAATTTCGCGGCCTTGAAAAACACTTCACCTTACCGGCTTCCTTTATCTTCGGAGTTTCCGCTCCCGAACAGCACCATAGCAACCATTCTCCCCCATTGGTTAGCTGTTCGAAACGTCACAACACTACAAGGATTCTGGGTAATATCCCACAGCAAAGTGAGGTCTGATGTGCACTTGCGAAAGGGGTGCATTAAGTGCCCTTATGATCACCCCTGGAGAACACTATTAGAGGATCGGGACACCCTACGGTCTTGCACCCCTTACGCCGGTTTCACACTGCACGCGTTAGCAGAGCGTAAGCAGCACAGGAGCAGGGCGTACGGTGAGCGGAAGCAGGACACGCGCGTTTTGCTTTCATACTGGCAGCGTTTGACGCGCGCAGCGTGTTTACAGACAAAGTACTCTATAATGGGTAAGTTGGCATTGCTTTATTTCGTTTTCAAATACATTTAAGAGAAAAGACTTGTCAAGAAGCTTATTTCATTAATTAATAGGCTATATTATATAACTGTTGGTTCATATTTGTTTTTGTTGACTTTGTTTTCTGTTTAAATTGATGAAGGTCATTTGATTGACTGTTTAAAACACAATAGATATCACCAATGCGCTTTTGGGTCAAACTGCTGTGTATTTTGGCCATGATCAATGCATTGTCACTTTAATTCAGCGTAAGCCGCGCGGCAAAAATAGACAGGACGCCGAAACGATCGCGGCTCTGCTGCTCCTGCTCTGCTCCTGCTACGCGCTGCCGCGCCGCCTCTGCGTGCGGTGTGAATGCTCTAATCTGTTAACATGGGCGCCGAAAAAAATACGCGCTGATTACGCTCTGCTAACGCGTGCAGTGTGAAACCGGCGTTAGCGAGAACGCGCATTGAGGGGCACAAGGGCGCAAGTGCGGGTATTGGGACAGGGCCTATATGTTGTTTCCAATAAAAAAACATTTGCACAAAGCAAGCCGATCCACTTTTCCACTTTTATGTTGATAAGAGCATTAAAATGAGAGAAAAAATAATGGTACAAAAAGAAATCAAGAGACATTTAGAATCAGAGCTGCCAACTTTTGAGTTTAGCTTGGCGTGAGACTTCTCCAACGGGGGGGGGGGGGGGGGGGGGGGGGGGCTGGGATGGAGATGGCAACGGGGGGCGTCTCTGCACACGCAAGGTTGCGCGCACGCTACGCGGTTTGAAGCACAATCTCTGTCTCGCGTGCGCGCTCGCTCTAGATTACGGGAGATTTTAACTATTTTGCGGTATAATTAGTCGATCACGAGTGGCTCAACAGGTAGATCTATAGATGAACTCATCTTTCAGGCATTTGACCGACCGGGTTGACACTTCAACGTGAGAATTCGGGAGTGTGGCGTGTGAGCGTGTGAAACCATTCAAATGCGTGTGTCTCACGGCCAATGCGTGAGAGTTGGCAGCCCTGTAGAATAGATAAAAATGTGTGATTAATTGCGATTAATCGCGAGTTAACTATGACATTAATGCGATTAATCGCGATTAAATATTTTAATCGTTTGACAGCACTAATATATATATATATACACACAGTATATTAGGGGTGCACAGACTTTAATGCTCTGCCATGACGCTTTAAGCTTGACGTCGACTAGTCACTGATCATGGCCTATAGAGGGCGCAACAACAGTTAACATGACAAATAAAGGCATACTCCGAGATATGTTTGATAATGCCATCTGGATGCTCAAAACTGATCGAGTGAATGCTCGTTTTGAACAGTTTATTGTACATGCAAGCTAATCGCCATTCTCAACTAATGCGCTGCTGCTTTGTAACACACACACACACACACACACATACAGACAGTAGCTCACACACACAAAAACATTCAGCAGCGCAGAAATGTATTGTCAACACTGTTCTGTGATTTATCAATAAAATAGCTTAGAAACTGAAAAGTTCTATCATATATTTCTTAGTAACTAAAACCCACAGCTTCACTATTAGAGAGACTTAATGCTCTCTCACTAATCCATCCATATAAATGTAATCTTTACTGTGCTACTTTATCTGTAGCTGAGCACAATGCAACTCGCATTCAAGTCTCAGCTCAAGGTTCAGGCTTATTTGTTCATTAATGATGTCATCAGCGACTAGTCAACGTCGACTCGACTTTAATCACATAAATGTTCTTCAAAAAAGTCGTTCAAACCCTAATATATAAAATACTTTTAGGGCTAATGGGCTAATTAAATGTCCATTAAACTGAAAACTATATTCACAATGTAGCTCAGCTTTAAATTATCATCAAAATCATTGTGGATATATATTCAATGCAACACTTCATGTAAGAAATGTTTTAAGAACAGTTAATATAGACATTTTAAGGCTCACGCAAACATCAAAACATGCATGCCTAGATACACACACACACATATAGGCACACACGCACACACACACGTACGCCGCAACCTTTTGAGGGTGATAATTGGCATCTTTTGAAGAGAAGCTGTGATATTTAATGACTAATGGCTGAAAGTTAATGATTGTCCAGAGGGGGTCTCCAGCACTAAACATGACTCCACCTCTCTATCAGATTTCTTCTGGGAGAGATCGAGGCTGGTCTGACCTCAGCAGAGGAAATACAGAGATACACTCTCCCCAGAGATGCTCTGCAACAAGTAGAAAGGTGAAGTCCATTTTTCAATATTAAAATACTTAATATGCACAGACAGCTACAAGTCTTTCATATGTTATTTCCCCAGAAAAGTGTAAACAAAACGGCTGACACAGCAGCACAGGCTTGACCAACGCTCAGTATTTTTTTTATGTTTGGTCACACAATCGGTGCAGAAATTACACAACTATGAAATAAAACAAATGTAAAAAAAACAAAACTGTTTAGATCATGTGATATAGGCAATTTTTTATACTCATTTTTTATAATATAAATTCTATTCTCTCTGGATATGGATAACTCCATAGACACTGAAATCTATTTGAGGACATCTTTTATTGCTCATCCTCCAACTCCTAATGATCCCAAACTCACTTATAATGATCCTGGGTGTCCTTCAGACCAGCAAGGGCGGCCAGAACCTTTTCACACACACACACACACACACACACGCACGCACACACGCACGCACGCACACACACACACAATCACGACGGCCTTTACTGCAGTGTTGGCTTACTCTCAGACTTTTAAGAGCAGGAGCTATATTACCAACAATGCATTAAAAACTGCAGACAGAAAGCATCAAATATTTGCAAACTGGAGTTGTAATTGAATATGAAATGAAATTAGCCTTTTATAAAGTTCCAGTATTATGCACCTGAAACAATAAAATATTAATATTAAGAAGGATAAGAGGGATACAATCATTCTGGAACAACTTCGTTGACTTTCAAATATCCTCTTATTCACTCTCATTTTATTCAGTGCATTTTATGGCTCAAGAAAGCATGTCTAGCCACATAATAAACGCTATAGGTTGAGGCATGAATTAGTCAAAAACATTCAGGCAGCACTGCGTCAGCGTTGTTAAACAGCGCGACCCTCTCCCGCGGGAAATACAGACGCATAAACAGCCCCTCAAAGCAGAAAACTTCAGCGAAATGGAGGACTGGCATCCCAAACAGTGTTTACGCCCCTGCTGGAGAGACTCGATTAGTGCTGGCCATGCAGGAATCAAGCTGGGACAGAAGAAGTTAATTGGGATCAATCAGCTGGGAACTCGGCCGGTTCCTCAGGGCCGGGAGCCTTAGGCAAGCAGGATCTGACGGCGATTGCTTGAAAGATTTGTTAACCACCGACCGGGTTGTTGGTGAAGCGGTTCAGCGGGTCTGACTCAACACAAACTGGGAAGGCGAGGGAGAATTCAATGTCACCCCTGTTACTAGAGATGTGCAAAGACTCAAAGAGAGCGTCAGGGGGTAGGGTACCGCTCTCAGAAAACTCTGTGCAGGAGAACTGCTAAATTTAAGAGTAAATTTTAATTGACTACATTTTTAACTCATTTATTTTGTTCCGTGTAACATAAACTATGAACGTTCATTTGTAAATTGCGAGAGCTTATTTTTCCCATATTAGATTGAAAGATTTGAAAAAGCCCATATATTTACCCACCCATAGACCCTCCCCTCGAAGAAATCAGGACAGAAGTGGAGGAAAATGGACAAAAGAGACGGATTAAAACACCAGTTGTAAACGGGAATGTGTCTCCCTTGTCTACTTGTGATCCGTTCGACCAAAACGCATCTTAATACCAGGTGTAAACAGGGCCAATGATGGCAAATGACATTTGATCAAGAGACACTCAAACTAATAAAACATGACATGATACGTAAAAATTCCCAAGTTTCAGGCCAGGATCTTTTGCAATGGGACAAGGAAAAGTCATTCAGGTTGGGAATAACATGAGGGTGTGTAAATGATGACTGAATGTAAACTTCTAGGTGAACTATCCATTTGATAATAAACAGTTTTAAATGAAAAAGAAAAATGATTATGATACTTGAATTCTAGGCTGAGAAAAAACTCTTGGATTTCCACTGCTCCGACGCACAGCGACAGTCGACCACAAACCATCAGCTTAATAACACAATAAATTAAACGGACTCATAAAACGGACTCAAACACTTTGTGCAACCTCACTTCTTAATGAAATCAATATACTGGACGTGGGCCCATGTCTTAATGCAGGGGAAACTAGATTACATTGACTTGTATGTCTTTGTAATTAAATAAAAGCCATGCGGAGGAACTACACACTTATTTACCATTCCATTTACTCATTGAGGTTCAGTAAAGAGCTTGTGTGTGTATGCAGAGATTGACTTCAAGTCATTTGAACTGACCTTCAAGTGCTGCCTGAGACTAGTTCATGTGACTGAAAGGTTCCTTAGCATTCATTTTTAATCATTTCTGATTGCCTTTTTAATTTAATGAGGATGTGCTCTTGCAATAATGCCATTAATTATTTAAAACCTTGTGATGAGAGTACAGGTATAAGTGTATTTATACTCACGTCTGGATATTCTTTAACAGGCACATAGAGTTTCTCTTGGAGCTGAACGATGGGGCCGACGGCGTCCGGGAGCTCTGAGCTTCTCTTCTCCGTGCTGCCGTTTAATGTGTCATTGTACATGTCCTTTCGTACCCTGCTGATCTCTGAAATAAAGAGAAAGCACATGCACTGTGAGTTAACTACATCAATCAGGGAACAGGATTTGAGATATAGTGACATGATACATTTCCATTCCCCGTGGATTATATGCACTTTAATATGGCAGTAGAGGAGTGCAAATGCTCCTTAAACACTGCGCTTAAACCTAATGAAACAATGAATATGTTAGAGCATCTATAACTGCATAGAGCATGTACCTATATTAACAGACAACATGGTTATCAAACAATTTAGGGCTGCACAGTTAGATAATTGTGATTATTAATCTGCAAAGGGCTTCATTAAACATCCTCAGTGTGGGGTTCATGATTCAGTGTTTCCAGCAGTCTCAGAGCAGTTTGTGCATTGTGAATGCAAATCACTCCATGTTCACGTTAATTTCACGTTCCTAATATTTTTGGCTACTGCACAAATCTAATAACGAAACACTGAAAAAAGGGGCACAGAAAAAGAGGTGACAGCATTTCACAGTTTTCTGTCAGAACATACAGTTTTAACCAGAACATTTAAGACAACATAACACTGTTATAACACATATATTGCACATTGACATACAATTTTCATTTACACTACCGTTCAAAAGTTTAAGGTCGGAACGTTGCTTAATATTTTTTAAAAGAAGTCTCTTCTGCTCACCAAGGCTGCATTTATTTGATCAAAAATACAGTAAAGAACTGTAATATTGTGAAATATAATTACAATTTTAAAAAGCTGTTATCTATTTTAATATATTTTAAAATGTAATTTATCCCTGTGATGGCAAAGCTGAATTTTCAGCAATATAAGGTTTCGATAAATATTTTGTGGAGACGACGGACATGCTGGTTTGTAGTTTTCACATAACACCTTTTTGACATTTTGAATAAATTGACAACTGTTGTGATTGTTATATTGCTACTGCTTAAAGGGTTAGTTCACCTAAAAATGAAAATCATCCTTTATTAACCCCCTGGAGCCCGTATAGATTACTTTTATGATGGATGGATTTTTTGGGCTTCAAAATCTCCGGTACCATTCACTCCCATCATAAAGCTTGGACGAGCCAGGATATTTTTTAATATAACTCCGATTGTGTTTGGCTGAAAGAAGAAAGTCATATACACCTAGGATGGCTTGAGCTTGAGTAAATTATGGGATACTTTTGATTTTTTGGGTGCAGTAGCAATATAACAATCACAACAGTTGTCAATTTATTCACAATATTTGACCAGATTTTAGACACCCACATGAGCACCACAGTATAAAGTTCAGACCCACTACAGCCTGACATCAGCTTGCCCAAAAGTCTCTGCTCAGGATCGACAGTTAGTACAATTGAACAAGACAAGCGAAGACCACCTCCGCAAGAACAGGGAAAAAGAAAATGACAAGACGTGGGCTAAGATAGCTTCTCTGTCTTTGAACAGCTGTAAAACCACAAAAGATCTTTCTAAGAGGATATGATAGCTTCTGAATTTCCTCGGGAGACACGTGTATCCATTTTGCCTGGAGGCCCTGATGGGAACTTTCTCACTACAGTGACCAGCTTTGCTCTTTTCCCCAAAGTACCATTGCATTTTTCCAAAGCTCAATCATTTAAGAAAAGTAAACGTCTCCTTATTGTTGATAAATCATAAATCATATTATGTCCTTTCTCGAATGCATATGTTGTGAAGCAGGTTCTGGTGACAGGTGACATGTCAGACCAGACATCATGAATGGCCTACTTACAGTCTCTGCACATTAAACTTCAATAAGAGGAACTATTTTAACAGCAAAAATACACACTGAACTCCTGCCTGAGGTTCACTGCAGGAAAACGAGGGAAGATGGAGAACGGGTAATCACTGTTATTACATGTGATCCTTCCGGCCACTTAATAAAGTGAGTAATAACTGTCCTTTTCTGAAAACGTTGTCTATTATTCTTGAGGGGGAAGCAAACAGGGGAGAGAGGCAGTGAGAGAGAGAGAGAGAGAGAGAGAGAGAGAGAGAGAGAGAGAGAGAGAGAGAGAGAGAGAGAGAGAGAGAGAGAGAGAGAGAGAGAGAGAGAGAGAGAGAGAGAGAGAGAGAGAGGGCTCTAATACGGTGGGAAAGACAATTAAAACCACCAAGTCAGTTAATATTTCATATAAGACATTAAATATCCCAGTCTCAAGCTGCTGCCACTGTTGTGTAATTCTATTACTGGATGAAGAATTCCCTGGCGAAATTCTCAAAGGCAAATTGAAGAGGTCGGTTTGAGGGAGAGATGTAATTACAATGGAGATCGCGCACTTCCATATACTCGCACACTCACGGCAAGAAGACACACAGAACGCACACTATTCTGTCCTTTCTCCTATGCATATGTTATGAATTTGACTCCTCTTGTGAGGTCATGGAGAATTTGTCTTGAAATTGTAATTGCATCTAATTTGAACAATTAGAAAAACACTCACGTGACACGGCAGATGTGATTCGGTCCTCATTAAGAAAACATGCAGTTTAAAGACGCCACAGTGCTTTCTGTCATTTGTTGACATCTTTTTTTTTATACTATAATCTTAAAGTTGTCTTTGCTGGTGGGCAACATTAGTCATGAATATTTGCAACGTGTTTTCTTGAAGCATAAAAATTTTATTCAGAAGCCCAAACTGAACATCAATATGCAATTTGGTGCAGACGCTGACATTTATGGCGAAGAAGAAGTGAGATGAAATTATGATAGCTAATGTCAATCAATGAGATATTTATAACAGTCCAGCAGACTACATAAAATGCATATACATATCAGTGTCACTCTTTATCTCCCAATAATATGTCTTAGTAAGATGATATTTAAATGCTTAGTTTTATTATCAAAGCTACTGTATGTAGTTCTGAAACATATAATGCAATGCAATACAATGATTATTGAGATATGAATTTCTTTAATGTTCACCGGGAAAACTAGTCCCATCCAAAAAGGGCTTTACTTGCTAAAAAAATGTAAACTATCCATCAGTGCCCATGGGCATAAGGCATGTACTAGATTGTGTGCAACAAGTTTTTCTGCACAGTTTTGATGATAATAATGGCAATTTAGGGGTCTTAGGAATTTGCGTATCAAACATGATACATGCTTTATAACTCTTTATATTAAAGAGTTATTATAGGACTTCAAAGCTTATATACGTGGCCTGAAAGCCACAAACTTTAATTTTGATTTAATAGGGTATAAGGAATCCAAAGGATATTCAGGCAGCTTCCCATAATAATAGCCTGTGGGCTGAGGTTGCCTTGGACAGACACTTCAGCTAAACGTCTGTTTAATGGTGGTCTGCGCTCATCTCAATAAATCGCAGCTTAAAAGAGCCCTGTCGATGGCCATAAGCGAGGTATGTCTCCGGGCTTTATAGCAATGTTGTTATCAAAAGTGATTTAAGCTTTTCACATTGACATCGAAGGCCACCGCCAAGAAAGACAAGTGGCATTGAAAGAGCTTCCTCTGAGGTTGAGTACACAAGAATGATGGCATGTGTTTTCATAAGTCAGTGAAAAGGGATGAAGTTATTGGAGGATGAGTGCTGCGTCTAGAACGGTTACTTTTCATTAACTTAAGAGAGACGGTAATTACTGTGAATGAAAACCTGTGCCCATAAAACATGCTGAGAAAAGGTAATAAAGTGTTGCTGTCATAAGTTGTTGTAGGTAATGAGATGAGTAGTTACATTTAACTAGCTATTTATCTAATGCAACTTACAAAGAAGAATAGAGCCAGCAAAATAAATTAATCCACGAAAGAAAAATGCTAACACTTTAGCATACTGTTCTGTTATTGTAGTTATTCATTAGAGGAAGAGATGAGCAACGCAATATTAACATTCTAGTAACTACTATTGACTAACAAGAAACTTTGACACATTTTTTTAAGTAATGACTAATGCTACTACATCATTCTTAAGGAATTACTATAGCCATTTGAAACCGCATGATCTCAATGTTACTAAATCTGTCATAGCTAACCTTACAAAAATCTCACAAGCTTAAAATGACTTCAGTATTTACTAGGGAGTTATTATGCTTTTTAGAATACTGTTCCAAATAATTAGTATTTCCTTCTGAAGGATTTGACTAGTCATTACTAGTGGGTTACCATGATCTTAATTTTAGAATTAATTATGCATTATTTGCATTGATTATGAAACTTTTAACAGTTTCTTTCCAGTTTGAAAAAAAAAAAAACTTGCTTACTAATTCATTGATCAGAGTTGTTTGTTAGTTGATAGTAGTTAAAATGTTAATATTAATAAATTTAAGGCCAGATTTTCTAAAAGCTTGCTCCAGCGCAAACCCTCTTTGCCATTAAAAAAGGATTGAAGACATGCAGGTGTGGTGTGGGTGTGGACAGGGTTATTTTTTTGCGGCTGACCTTATAGCATATGCATTTGTAGAAGTCTCCAAAATCAAAAACAAAATATATGGGAGGAGAGTATTTACATTAATCATGTAAGGTGATTTACTAAGGTTTGCGCAAGTCAGTTTACTGGTATTTGCGCCATTATTTAACGCCCCCACAAAAAACATGTTTTAAACCAGACGCTAATTTTGCGCTGCTCTTGGTAGATTGTGTTGGTCATTATGGAAATCATCAGCAAGATTTAATTTTTAACTACAATTTAGTCTCGTCTTTTTTCGTCAATGATATTCCATGCATATAGTCACAGTTATCGTTTAATGATGTTGGTGTCGCCTCGTCATCGTCCATGAAAAAAAGGTAAAAAAAAAAAGGTTAAAAAAGTAACTAAATTAGTTACTCAGTTACAAATTTTAAAAGTAACTAGTTACTTAAGAAAGTAACTATTGCGTTACTTTCAAGTAAAATTACATTTTAAATGCTCAAATGTGACCCCACCTCTACCCTGTCCGACTATGCGTTATGATGGGTCGTTCGCAATTCATGAGCGTTAGCCGTTAGTGATGATGGGTCGTTCGCGAATGAGCGTTAGTGATGATGGATCGACTCGTTCGCGAATGAGCGTTAG